TATCATCGCATGAGGTTTTCAGTAAATGGGCAAGCGGAATATTTTTTAATATCAACTTATTTAAAAGGACACAATCATGAATACTCATTAACCAGAAAACGGTTATTGCTATGGTAAAGAATCAGGGCTCCCAAACACGGTATTGGACCACCTGCTATAATCCACTCTAAGGGTATCTAGCAATTAACACGCAACTCCCATAGTGATATTATAAATCTGATGTCCGCATTCGGGAGCAAATTTATAATTTGATGCTGGATCGGAAAACAAAGCAAGCGAGCAATGCGATTGAAAAGTGGTTCATATAGATAAACAAAAGAACTAAAAAATAGCAGACAATTCCGAGGAAGAGATATGGTTGTCTATTTATTCCCTTCTTTCAGCTTTATAATCAACAAATGTTCGCTTGCATAAAAAATGTTAAAAAAGTAAAATGAGAAAATACAAAATACACAATCCACTTTGATATCTTTATTTCTAGATGTTTATATCTATCATCATTGAAGAAGCAAAACAAGAACAAAAGTTAAATAAAAATTGAGTATGAAGGATCACTTCAAATCAAATGGGGTTCTAAATTTAAACTTAAGGCACTATATACTTACCTTATGCAGAATAAATCGGATGGATGGCCAGTTGCTTAATCTATCGAATACACTAGGTGCTTCACTGTGTCTTGTTGAGCCAAGTGCAACCCAGTAACCCCCTTTTGAACTCTCACGGATGTTATCCGGAAACCCTGGAAGCTGATCAGAAAAAATGCCATAGTCCCCTGTGCCATCCAAGGAAACTCTCAATATTCGACTAGTGCCGGTTTCTGCCAAAAGAACAGTGCTTCCATCCGAATGTAGCTGAACGCCGTTAGCAAAAAATATCCCATCCACAAGGATGTCCCAAGAGGAGTTTGGATAAACCAGGAGAAGTCTGAAAAATAAGATAGTGAACATATTTATTACCTGACTTAAATTTAAAAATATTTCAATTAAATTTGTCAATCGATTGGATGTTATTAAAAAATGCCATAAAATTTTACATTATAATATATAGCCCAAAATGTCGAATTGGCAAAAACCTTACCACAGGAAAATATCAGGTTAAATTTTTGTGATTAAATCAAGCCCTTAGTTGCAGGTTAAATAGGAGCGCTAACGTCCAATCGCAACCATGAGATGGGCATTATACTGTTGAATTGAACATAAAATTCGATCGAAAACAAATATAAACCAAGTGAGATAAAGTGATAAAGGTATTAAACATGTTAATGACATACCGACCATTCGGTCTACCATCCAGAAGAGCGTACATGAAGTTGTGCAGGGGGAAGCGATCGGATGCCTCGGAAACTAGGATGCGACCATCAGGAAGAATATCAATATCGTCTATACACGTAACACGATACGGAAATTCCTTAGGGAAAAGTTTTTGAGATGACCCTTTTGCAAGCTCATTGGAACAAAATGGAATTACCATTGTCAACAGATACTGAAAACACACCAAGATAGGCGTCAGCCACTATAAGCCTCCTGCGATCTTTATCAATTCGAAGTCCTAAAGGCCTTCCACAGGTGTTGATGGATTCTAGATTATCAGATAAGGCATGACCACCTACTACAGTCAGCAGGACCGAGACGACTAAAGTTGAAAAGCCCAGATTCATTCCATTTAATAATAAAACCGTTCAATTGACCAGCATAAAAAGAACCTAAACATTATTCGGATAAGAATCCATAACCAACCCTCAAAATAGGCTATACTCTCAGGACCACGGAGTCGCCCATTAAAAAGCTTCTGTGAATTAGTAAGCTTGTTATTAACTTTCAGCGGACCATCGAGTTTAACTAAAGATGGCAATTCGACTTTGACAGGATCAATATAAGTTGGACTCATAAGATAGGTGAAGGCAAGAATAATCAAAAAGGAAGTAACAATTATAGGGCATTGTCTCCTGCAAGAATAAATGGACTGCTTTCTAGGATGATGCGCAGGTGCTGCCCGAGTTACGGGTCCTTCATATTTTATTTGTTCACGCCTTTGCTTTACCTCAGACATTATCCGAGAGGCAACGATAAGTGAGAGCACAGGGAGCTAAATACGCACTGAGCGGATGAAGTAAAAGTAGACTC